ATTTAATGCCTCTAACCTCTCCTCGTAGCTCTTGCCCTTCAGTTCTGGGAGCCACTTAGTAGCATGTCTTTGCACCTTTTCCAGTTTGTTGATGTGCTTCTTCAGATATGGGCACCACACAACTGCTACATATTCTAGCTTTGGCCTAACAAAAGTCGTGAACAATTTCTTTAGTATATTGCCATCCATATATTTAAAAGCAATTCTGAAGTTAGAAAGCGTGGCATAGGCTCCTCGCACAATATTCTTTATGTGGTCCTCAGGTGATAGTTTTCTATCTAGAACCACCCCTAGGTCTCTTTCTTTATCAGAATTCTTTAAAGATTTCTCACATAATATATAGGGTCTATGTTCTCCTATTCCACATTCCATAACATGGCATTTATTAACATTAAATTCCATTTGCCAAGTGGCGCTCCATATACTTATTTTGTCCAGGTCTTCTTGAAGGTCATGACAATCATCTACGTTTCTTATCCTTCCTGTTATCTTAGCATCATCAGCAAACATGTTCATATAATTCTGTATACCAACTGGTAGATCATTTATGTAGACAATAAACATCACTGGTGCAAGAACTGAACCCTGTGGTACTCCACTTGTGACATTTCTCCAGTCCGATACATTGCCTCTGATCACAGCCCTCATTTTTCTATCAGAAAATTTTTCATCCATGTTAGAAGCGTACCTGTCACTCCTCCAATATTTTGCAGTTTCCAGAACAACCTCTTATGTGGAACTCTGTCGAAAGCCTTTTTTAGGTCCAGATAGATGCAGTCAGCCCAACCATCTCTTTCCTGTAATATCTTTGTTGCTCGATCATAGAAACTTAGTAAATTCGATAAACAGGATCTTCCAGATTGAAAACCATACTGTCTGTCTGATATTATATCATTTCTCTCCAGGTGTTCTACCCATTTAGATTTAACTATTTTTTCCAATATTTTGACTATTACACTTGTCAATGATACCGGTCTATAATTAAGGGGGTCTTCCCTGCTTCCACTTTTGTAGATTGGAACTATGTTAGCCTTTTTCCACACATCAGCTACAACTCCTGTAAACAGGGATGCCTGAAAAATCAGTTGAAGAGGAATGCTGAGCTCAGGTGCACATTCTCTCAGAACCCATGGTGAAACTCCATCTGGACCAACTGCTTTGTTCTTATTTAGCTCCTTGAGCATTTTTTCCACTTCGTCTCTAGACACCTCTATGTGCTCTATGTTGTTCTCTGGAATTCTTATTGTATCTGGTTCCCTGAAGATTTCATTTTGTACAAACACACTTTGGAACTTTTCGTTTAATGTTTCACACATTTCCTTTTCATTTTCCGTGAATCTATTTCCCATTTTCAACCTCTGAATATTATCCTTTACCTGCAATTTGTTGTTTATGAATTTATAGAATAGACCTGGTTCTGTTTTACATTTGTCTGCAATCCCTTTTTCAAAATTTCTTTCTGCCTCTCTCCTCACTGCCGTGTAGTTGTTTCTCGCATCTTTGTATCGCTGGTATGTTTGGGGGTTTGGCCTCTTCCTGTATTGATTCCATTTTTGTGTCTTTTGGTCTCTGGCCCTCTCGCGCTTTCTGATGAACCAATCCTGTTTCCTAGTTCTGCTTCTCTGTTTTGGTATAAATTTTTTTGTGCCTTTATCATATATTTCACAAAACCTGACATACATCTCATTCACTTGATGTATGTGTATAGGATGTGGCCCTTGTTCATCCTTGGTGCCATCAGTGACTTCACCACACTACCCGAGAAACCATGTTTGTCGTTACCGGGAATGTCTACAGCGCTAGCTGAATACAGAATCATGTGTAACACGTATCCTGTTTCACAGTCACACAGTACAAAGAATTTCAAGCCAAATCTGTTTCGTTTGGAGGGAATATATTGTTTGAATGAAACACGTCATTTGAAAGGTACAAGGGATTCGTCAATCACCAGCTTCTGTGCTGGTACGTAAAAATCTGAATTTTCCAATCACTTCATTCGTATAGTTCCTCAAAGTCTATCATCCTCTGTCCGGTCCTCATCACTTGCAAAATGCACACACCTGAGGAGTATCTGATATCTGTCTCGGGACATATATTTCCCAAAGAAAGGTGTTGGAATAGTCAGATCTTTGCTCCAGTAATCTGTGAGAGCGTGTTTGACACAGTGTTTCATCAACATACATATCGCTAGAAACACATACATTTCACCTATATTGGTGTTTTTCCAACGTTGCAATCATGAAAATTCTGTTATCTCTCTTCTAATGAGATGAGCCTCACGAAGGTTCGTTTGGTGTACAATATATTCCATGAGCGGCTCATCATAGAATGCTGTAAAATAATCACATTCACTCATATCCTCTCCATTATCAGGGGAAAAGCTCTGTAATCCCAACGTCTTTATTGTCAAAAGCAGGAATTCGAGGAGTAAAACCAGCACCATCACTCCACACTAGTACACCTGATGTAACAGGGGCATGACGGCGAAGAAGCGATGCACACCGTGGACCAGGAGCTGAAGCCCATCTATGGACAGTACAGCCGCTACGTGCACGTGAGGTGGAAGCATGTGAACATGAGGCTCTTGGTGCCTCATGTTGTTTCATGCTGTGGCGCTTGGCTGGGCGAGACGCTGCTGACGCAACAAATTCTCGCCCAATAACACCACTGGTACTGGCACCAGGCTCGGTAACACTATGTACTGATTCCACTTCACTAAAACCAGAAAAGAGAGTCGCCTTCCTCTGACTCGTCACCCAAAATATCCTCAGACTCTAAATACGCACAGGAACTGTGTGGTCATGGGTGAATTGGAGTAGACACTGGGCGAGGTGGCATGGGTGAGCGTATAGGCCTCCCCATGGGAGGTGGCTGTATCTCATTTTCACTGTCTGTGCTGCTATCATCGGTCAATTGTGTGTAGTCTTTATCAATGTCAGAGTCATCAACATCACTTTCCTCACCATCAGAAAATAATTCACTAGTTATTTGCTCTTGGGTGAGTGATTGCGTGGTACGCGCCTGGGAAGCGTTCGGCCGTGCGCTTGACGTGGTGGCTGCTGGGTAACTGATGCCTCCCACGCGATGGTAGCGTGAGCTGGATTTTTTTACAAAATTGCGGCTGTTTACTATAGCCCCTGGGCAGCGTATGGGGGCCCCCTCTACCTCATGGGCCGTTCAAATCTTGCGCAGTACTCCAATACATCATATGATGGGAAGCGCAAGTTATTGCAAGTTACTCAACCTATCATATGATGTGTTGCGCACTTAACCCTTAAACTGCGCAATGCGCCTGCAGGCTTACGTCTGGTTTGCGCAACGTGCCTCCGGGTACTGTATTTGTATTTTTCACGTTCCATTCAAAACTCCCGCAGCTACATGGGGTTCACATCAGCTTCCTTGGGGCTCTTGTAAACAGACGCCATCTTTAAAAAAAATCATGGTCCACATTCCTGAGTGTGGGAGCCTCGGTAGTGAGTGAGCAACCAAGGCTGTCGCTCGCAGCATGAGCACACAGCACTGCTGTTCAGTGTGTGACCACAGCATTGCCTAATAATGTCAAAATATATATATATAACTCGTATTATTTAGCTATGATAGTATTATAAAAGAGCCTGAGTGTGATAATGACTGGGTACAATGTTCAAATATCAGTGATTCAATGCTGTTCATGATGTTCACAGGAATATCCACAGCACCACAGCATTATTTCGTCCATCTAGGAATCTTCAAATGACTTCTTAGGTTCCTTTTCAAGATAAACGTGTGGTCAATTATTCATTTACAGGAATTAGTGACCAGGATTGTGATACAGTAATAGCAGGATTGTGGTTATAATTAGCATTGTACGAAGTATTGTGGAAGGAGGAATTTTGGTGAGGGAGGGAGGGAGAGAATTGAGGTAGCCTCATTGTGTGTGTGTGTGTGGCAGCTACTCTTGTTTTGCTCACCATACTAGCTTAGTGGTTTGCTATGGGCAACACATATGTACATGGGTATATACAGTGTGTGTGTATATAGTGTAATAACAGCATAGCGTCGTCTGCTGTCTGCTGTGTGATTTCTCATGCAGTGTATGGTGGCAACTGTACTGTTTGGACACAATACCGGCTTACTTGCATAGTTATGGTAAATAAAACATGTAGATAGCTATATATAACATGTGTAAATAGTGTAATAAGAACAATAACAGTATGGTGGGAGGAGCAATGTTGGCGAGTAAGATGTTGGAGTGAGGGAGACTGGCTGGGTGTGGCTGCTCTCACTCGAAGTGTTCTGAATGTGTTGATGGTGAATGTATATAGTATGTGACAGTATATAGTGTGTAAATAGATTGTATATATACATAAATTAGCATGATACATAGTAAATATGTGCAGCATATGTGTACACAAGTGTCATGCACGTAACACAGTGCCTTCGGACAGTACGGATGTTTTACTGCCATAATATAGTGTACATGTTCATTATACATAGGATTAGCACGTAAAAACAAATAAAATGTATTTAGAACTGTGCGCAGAAAATGAATATAAATATATTCGCGGCAACTCACGGGCCCTACTGGCCCCGGGAGCGTACGTCACAGGTGAACGGGGACTGATGACGTCACACGCCAACTTACGGACCCTATAGCACCCAAAGTAAGCACAATTTCGATTTTTTTTTTACATACCCATACTGAGGGAAGGGTTTTTGACACTTTAAAAAATCAAAAGAATTTTTTCCAGAGAATTTATTTCCTGCACACTGGGGGGTGTCATATATGGAGATAACGCAGTTAAGGGGTTAAAGGGTTAAATATGTCATAAAAGAAAAACCTGCTCTGGATGTGCACGGTTATTCATCCAACCAAATGTTAATCATCACCTTATTTCCCTCTATCATGAGACGTGAACTCATTTGCCAAAAGAAGGTAGGAAAGTAATGTAAGGATTAAATTTGTTATAAGTTACTTTCAGAGATTTTTACCCATTCACAATACTTTATGTACTTTACAGCATCACAGAGATCCAGTGCTTCCACACCAGAAAGTCACCAACAACAGTACTTTATGGGCTTGGAGTAAAGTGCTCCTGGTTAATTATCGTGGACTCTTCAACTGCATAAATATCAGTTTTTCCACTGCTTCTTTTGCAGTCTTTAAAGCTGTAATTGAGTACAATTTAGTAAAGCTACCAGTGCTCTAAAAATTTCAATATTTTTCCAAAGTAATCTTTTGGAAAAATCTGTAGGAAAAAAAGATTATTCATGTGAACATAATTGATTTTATGTATTATTAGTGATCAAAACACTGAAAAATCTTTTCTGATTTGACAAAATATTACAAATAAATTACTTATAAAAGATATAACAAGTTAGTAAGATTAAAATTTTTCTAAGAAAAAGTCATATCTTTATTAGAAGGATTTTTTTAATATAGATTGTAGTAAAATTTAAAAAATACATACAATATAGGAGCCATATCAGTGTTAAGTGTTTCTTATGAGACTTACATAAAGTCATATCTAGTGCAGCATGAGATTTCATACAGGTGAGAAATCATTTCAGTGTTCAGTTTGTATGAAAAACTTTCATAGTAGTTCAAATCTAGGAAAACATATGAGAATTCATACAGGTGAGAAACCATATCAGTGTTCAGAGTGTCTAAAGTGTTTTTCACAAAAGGCACATCTAATACAGCATATGAGAGTTCATACAGGAGAAAAACCATTTCAGTGTTTAGAGTGTCTAAAAGATTTTTCAGATAAATCAAATCTAGTGATCCATACTAGAATTCACACAGGGGAGAAACCTTTTCAATGTTCAGTGTGTATAAAATGCTTTTCACAAAAGTCGTATCTTATTAAACATATGAGAGTTCATACAGGAGAGAAACCATTTCAGTGCCTAGAGTGTCAAAAAAACTTTTCAGCTAAATCAACTTTAGTAAAACACATGACGGCTCATAAGGGAGAAAAACCATACCAGTGCTCAGAGTGTCTAAAAGACTTTTCTCGAAAAGCAACTTTAATTGAACATATGAGATTACATACAGGAGAGAAACCTTATCAGTGTTCAGTGTGTTCTAAAGGTTTTGCACGGAAACAAGCCTTAGTAAAACATATGAGAATTCATACTGGAGAGAAACCTTATCAGTGTTTAGTATGTCTAAAAAAGTTTTCAGATAAATCAACTCTATTAAATCACAATAGAGTTCATACAGGAGAGAAACCATATCGCTGTTCAGTGTGTCTTAAAGACTTCCCATCCAGTTCAGGTCTAATAAAACATAGGAGAGTTCATACAGATAAGAAACCATGCCAGTGCTTAGTGTGTCTAAAAATTTTTGCACATAAGACAAGTTTAGACCAACATATGAAATTACATACTAAAGGAAAACCATTATCAGTATTCAGAATGTTTAAAAAGAATTCATATATGAGAGAAACCATTTTCAATGTACAGAATGTTTAAAAGACTTTACATATCTAGTGCAAAATAGTAATGGACATCAAAACCAACAGGGTCAGAAACATGACCTGTTGTATAACAGGGAAAGGTGAATATTATGTGAATAATAATGAATAATATTATTATCTACCATCGATCAGAAAAAAATTGGTACTTGCTAAAAGGAAATTTGTACTTCTGCATATGGCCTTAGTACTGGTAGTGATAGCACAGATGCCAGAGTCTAATACTGTGGCAATTCTTAAAGATCCTGAGGCTATCTGTCAGAATAAGAATACTGACTAATGTTGATTTTTGTGTGGAAATCTTTTTCATTGTATTGGGCACTATCCTCAAACTAACTTTTTGTTTCTTGGGGCTTCTTTATGTATCATTTCCACACAGCATTATTAATACTATTGTGAGATTTTACTTGTTTCTGGGAGGAGCCCCTTCAGCTCCCCAGAACTATCCGGGCTGATATGAATATATTAGACCCCTGGCATCAGTCAAAGCAAATGGAGTTCTTAGGCCTATCGGGGACCACGAGTCAGAACCTGACCCCCAGAGAGAGGCAAGAGGAGCAATGGCCTGTAGAAACCCCTGTGTGGTTGGAAGCAGTCTGTGTCTGCCATCGACCGTGTCAGGCACCCAGAAAGGTAGGTGTTCCAAAATAAACCCTATCTGGTTAAAATATTGCTACTGATAGCTGAACTGTTGGATAGAACTTCCCCAAACGAGAAACGAGCAAATGAGTATGAAGTCTTAACTGTCACCGCACCGCTGTCTGCGCAGCTCTCCCCCTCCCCGGAAGGGGAAAAGAGGAGCCCCAGACCTCAGTGCCAGCTATCCAAACCCCTAGTTCTGTGGCTGATGTCAGACCTGGTGGTTGTACGACTCTGGCTCCAGACTCTGTCCAGTGCTGTGCCTTGTGGTGTGATCCTGTCCTTGGTAATGTGCGAGTCAGGAGTGATTTTACAAGTACTTGGGCTGCATGCGCCTAGGGTTCTTCCCCTAGGTGTCCTGTAAGTACTGCTCTTGTGGCTTGGGGTTTCCTTCCACAAGTTGCTTGGGACCTACCTCCGCTGTGGTCTTTTGATGCTCTTTGATTGCCCGCCCTTGGAGTCAGCTGGGGTGTTTCATGCGCCCTTGTTTGCCTCTGGGTAGGAGGTAGCTTCATCACTAGTACTTGTTTCTGGGGGGGAGCTTCTTCAGCTTCCAGGAGCTATTCGGACTGTTATGAATATATTAGACCCCTGGCATCAGTCAAAGCAAATGGAGTTCTTGGGCCTACTGACCCCCTCCCCGCTCAGCTCGTTGTCGCCGTGTGGGGGCTTAGTGGACGACTGCCGGAGTATGATGCTCCTTGGGACAGTCCTCTGACCTTTTCTAGCCTTGAGCTCCTGCTGCCGTCCTCTCCAATTCTGCTGGGCATCTTTTCCTTTTCCTTCTGTTTCGTTTTTCTCCCCCCTCTTCTCCTATCTGCTTGCCGTTTCCTGCCGACCTTTTGCTCGTTCTGGTTCTTCCCTTGGACTTCTTCTATTTTGACGCCCGGGTGCTTGAGGAGGCATACTCTTGCACCCGTAGAACTGTAGTCCCCGACGTCGAGAGCGAGGGGAACCTTTTATTGTCAATCCCCCTTTCGTCACTGAACCCGATCTCGACGGACTGTCGGTTTCTTAAGGTGGCGTTTGTGGGGCGTATACTCACGACGCACCCCTAGGAGGCCCCGGCAAGATCGGCGATAGCTTCTTGTTGGGTGTCCTGCCTCTAATTGTGGCTCCATGGTGGGTGTGGGGGCACATTCGTGAATGAATTCTTCTTTTCATCATGATGATAACCCCTGTTTCGGCTGCTTCTGGCGTACCTTCTCAGGCTCGTGGGGTGGGCGACCAAGCCCCCGAGTCGGTCCGTATTGGAAGACCGGGTTCTGTAGCCTCCGCTGCATTGGGCCCCGACCTTGCTCCTCCTTTGGCCTCTCTGACTCCTTCCCCTGGCTCCCCTCCCTCCTCTGTGGTTGGGTCGAGACCCAAGCCCCCAGTGGTGACTACCTCGTCCCCTGGCGCGGCTCCTTCTCTAGTTGTAACTACTGCGCCTTTTAACCCCTCTCTCTCTGGGGGTTCTCACCGCCGTCCTCGTCACGGCCGCCCTCGCTCGATTCCTTCCAGTTCTGCTACCTATCAAGCCTTGTTTGGTCCCGCTTCGTGGGCCAAATATTTTGATCTCCCTCTTGATTCTGCGCCTCCTGACGATTTCTCCCTCCATCGACATCTCGTTGATTCCGTGGATGCCTCCATTACTTTCAACCCCACTCGTCTCGGTACACGTGTCGTTGCTGCTCCTTCTCAGGATGCGGCCTCCCGCTTGGCTGCCATATCCTGCCTTGGCGAGACCCCTGTTCGGGTCTCGAAGAACGCTCAGTTGAATGCCAGTGTTGGCACTATTTTGCTCCCGCCCCATGTTGCGACCGGTGTTCGGGACCTGCGCGACTGCCACGACGATATTCGACATATCCTTGCTGCCCAGGGCCAGTCTATTCTCCAGGTGGACACGTTTACTCGTCCCCCTCGTGGTAGTCGCTGTCAACCCCTCCGGGTTGTGAAGATTTCCTTTGATGGTAGGACCCTTCCACCCTCTGTCATTCTTGCTGGTGCCAGGTGCTCTGTCCAGGAGTACATTCCTTCTCCTCGGCTCTGCAACAAGTGCTGGAGGTTTGGGCATGGTGCCCTCCGCTGCTCCGGGACTGTCTCTCTCTGTCCTTTGTGTGGTGGCGAAGGTCACTCTAAGTCGGAGTGCACTTCTCCCCAGGCTCGTTGCCTCAACTGCGGTGAGGCCCATCCTACCTTCTCCCGTGCGTGTGTCCATTACAAGCTTGAGGCGGCCGTCCTCAACCTGAAGCACCGGGAGCGTTTATCTTTTCCTGAGGCGAGGCACCAGGTTCGCCGGCTCCCGCCTTATGCTAATATCTCTTATGCTCGCGTGTTGCGCTCTTCCTCTCCTCGTCCTTCCCCCCTTCCTCAGACTCACAACCGTTTCCGGGCCTTGGACCCTGATACGCCCACTGCCCCCTCCTCTGTTCCTTTGAGTTCTTTCCCGAAGGATCCCCCTCCTGGTCCTCTGTCTGGGGTTCCCCTTCCTTCTACCCGGTCTGTCATGTCTCCTGTGTCTTCTTCCTCGTCCCCCTCCGATCCTCCTTCCCATCCTCTTCCTCCATCTATCGGCTCTCCCCACCGCCTGTCGGTGTGGGCGGATGTCCATCGCTCTCCTAACTGCCGTCGTGTGTGCTCTCGTTCGGCTTCTCCTGTTGAGACACTGGAATCCGTTGCCCGGTACGTAGTTGCTGGGACACCGGTCTCTTTAAGTCAGAAGCGTAAGCCTGGCTCCTCTCCTTCCTCTTCCCCGGCGGGTAAGAAGGCTTCGCTTTCTTCCTCAGCTCCTACTTCTGGCTCTGTTGCTCCTTCCCCTCCCGTTTCAGTGATTGCGCCCCCTGTTCCTGCTATGGAGGTTTCTTTGGCCCCTGCTTCCCTTTCGGTTGCTGCTCTTGCTGGGGTGCGCTCCCCTCTTTCTACTCCCCCTCCTCCTGCTGCTGTCCTTGACGGCTCCTCTCCGTTGTCTCCTCCTCTTCCTCCTCTTCCTCCTCCTCCTCCAGACCCTGCCCGCCCACCTCTGCTCTGTTCTCCCGTTTCCTTCCCTCCGTCTTTGCTCAGTTTACCCATGCCCCCTAACCCTGACTTTGCTGACCCTGATCCCGACCCTGATATTCTTTAACGTGCTCTGTTGCTCTTTCGCCTTTGTTTCTTCCTTGTTCTCTGTTTTTGTCCTTTCTCTTCTCGTCGTTGTCCATTCTTCAATGGAACGTTCGAGGTTATTACGCCAATTTCCTCGAACTCCAACTTCTGATTTCGCGGTTTTCGCCCCTTTGTGTCTGTCTCCAGGAGCCAATGCTTGGTGCTCGTCCTGGTCGTTTTCGTGGCTATTCCTTTCTCTCCCCCCCCCCCCCAGCCATTGCTGGGGCTTCTAATTCTTCTGCTCTTTTGATTCGGGCTGATGTTCCCTTTGTTCCTTTACTTTTTCCTTCGCCTCTCCATTGTTCTGCTGCTCGTATCTTTGTGGGGAAATGGTACACAGTTTGTTCCATTTATCTCCCCCCGAGTGTCCCGCTCTCTCTTCCTGATTTGAAACACCTCCTGGACTCCTTGCCGGAGCCTGTGCTCCTGCTGGGTGACTTCAATTGTCGTCATTCTCTTTGGGGTGACGTTCTGACGAATACCCGGGGTCGCCTCCTTGAGCCGTTTCTCCTCTCTTCTTCCCTGTCTCTTCTGAATTCTGGTGAGCCCACTCATTTGGACTCTCGGACTCGCACCCTTTCTTGTCTTGATCTTTCTCTCTGCTCTTCTTCTCTTTACTTAGATTTCACGTGGCAGGTTCTTGATGACCTCCATGGAAGTGATCATTTCCCCATCCTTGTTTCCTTTTTCTCTTTTCGCCCTTCCCTCTCTTTCCCTAGGTGGCAGTTTGCTAAGGCAGACTGGACCCTATTTACCCTCAGTGCTGCTCTCCCTGACCTCTCCCTTCTGCCTCTCTCTCGCGCTCTCCTCCTTTTTCATGACACTGTCTTCAACGCTGCCCTCCGCTCTATTCCTCGCTCTTCCTCTCGGGGTCCACGGAAGTGCGTTCCCTGGTGGAATGCGGACTGTGCTCGGGCTGTCCGCTGTAAGCGTGCAGCCTGGAAGAGGCACCGCCGTAGGCAGACGACCGATTCTTTTCTTTTCTTTCGGAAAGCGAGTGCGGTGGCCCGTAGGGCCATCCGTACGGCTAAACGTGAATGTTGGGCATCTTATGTCTCAACAATTACGTCCGAGACCCCTCTGGCCCAGATCTGGAAGCGTATCCGCAAGATAGCGGGTAAGTTCGTTCCCGATGTTTCACCGGTCCTTCACCTCCATGATACTCTTGTGGCGGACCCGTTGCAGGTCGCTTCCGAACTGGGTTCCCACTTTTCTTCTGTTAGCTCTGGTCTTCATCTTCCCCAATCTTTCCTTCTTCGTAAACCTGTCCTTGAGTCTCGTCCTTTAGATTTCTGCACTCATCTTCAGCTTCCCTATAATGATCCCTTCTCTCTCTCTGAACTTCGTTCTGCCCTGGCCCTCTGCGGTTCTACGGCGGCGGGCTCCGATGGTATTCATTATGAGATGCTTCGCCATCTCCCTCCGAGCACGTCTCAGTATTTCCTGAGTCTGTATAATCGGATCTGGGAGTCGTCGTCAGTCCCTGAGGACTGGCTCGATGCCGTTGTCCTCCCTGTTCGCAAACCGGGGTCTCTGGGTGCTTCCCCTAAGGACTTTCGCCCTATTGCTCTCACAAGTTGTGTCTGCAAACTCTTTGAACGTATGGTTAACGTTCGTCTGATGTGGTTCCTGGAACACCATCACCTCCTCTCCCCTTCTCAATTTGGTTTCCGCAAGTGCCGCAGCACGACAGATGTCCTGTGCCCCAGGGTAGTGTTCTGAGCACTACTCTTTTTCTGGTTGCCCTCAATGGTC